AAGCTGGATTTAACTGCAAAACGGGAGATGAGAGACTGCTGCGTCATATTTCTCACAGAAACGTGGCTGAAACCATCCGTTCCAGATGAGGCAGTTAGCATAGAGGGGCTAACATTATTTCGGTCGGATAGGAGCAGCTCTCTCACTGGTAAATCCCTGAGGCGGCGGTGTTTGCATATACACCAACAACAACTGGTGCAACAACGGTGAGATAGTCTCAAGTCACTGCTCTCCTGATGTAGAACTACTGACTATAAAATGCAGGCCTTTTATTTACCCCGGGAATTCACTGTTATGATCTTCACAGCAGTGTACATTCCTCCCAGTGCAAACACCAGAGAAGCCCTGAATGTTTTATACCGCTCCATCAGTGAACTGCAATCTACACATCCAGAGGGAGTTTTCATTGTGGCAGGGGACTTTAATCAGGCCAATATGAAAACTGTTTTTCCTCATTTCCACCAATATGTGGATTTTGCAACCAGGGGTGGGAGCATGCTGGACCTGGCCTACAGCAACATCAAGAAGGCATTCAAGGCTGCACCCCGCCCCCACCTTGGCTCCTCAGACCATCTCTCTGTGATGCTAATTCCAGCATACAAGCCCCTGCTGATCAGAAAAAACCCACAGTGAAGCAGGTGAGGGCCTGGCCTGAGGGAGCTATGGAAGCATTACAGGACTGCTTTGAATGCACGGACTGGGACATGTTCAAGGCGGCTGCTACGGACAATCACCAGACGTGTGTGGAGGAGTATGCCGAGTCTGTGTCTGCATACATTCAGAAGTGCATGGAGGATGTTAGTGTGATCAAGAACATCTCCACACGGGCCAACGAGAAACCCTGGATGACTAGTGAAGGTACGTGCAATGCTGAAAGCCCGGAACGACGCTTTTAAATCTGGCGACATGGTGGCACTAAAAACAGCCAGAGCCAACCTGAACCGTGCCATAAAGGTTGCAAAGCGTGCTCACAGTCAGAAAGTGCAGGACTTCTTCGAGGACCCCACGAACACCAGACGAATGTGGCAGGGCATCCAAGTCATCACAGACTATAAAGCTACTCCTCCCCCCTGTGACAACAACATCAACGACCTCAACGACCTCAACAACTACTTTGCAAGGTTTGAGGCACTCAACACCACTCCAGCGAGGAAATCTATTCCTCACTCCGATGAGCAGCCAATCAGCCTGGACGCAGCTGATGTCCGGAGAACCCTGAGGAGAGTGAACACCCAGAAAGCAGCGGGCCCTGACGACATACCGGGACGGGTGCTTAAGGAATGTGCTGACCAGCTGGCTGGGGTTCTCACAGACATCTTCAACACCTCGCTGATCCAGGCTGTGGTACCATCATGTTTAAAGACTGCTACAATCATACAAGTGCCTAAAAAATCCAATCTCCTCGCTCAATGATTACCGCCCTGTAGCACTAACCCCCATCATGATGAAGTGCTTTGAGAGGCTGGTAAAGGACCACATTGTCTCCAGACTTCCCCCCACATTCGACCCGTACCAGTTTGCTTACCGCCCAAACCGCTCCACAGAGGATGCCATCTCCTCTGCACTCCACCTGGGCTTACAACATCTGGAAGAGAAGGACACACATGTGCGGATGTTGTTTCTGGACTTCAGCTCAGCGTTCAATACAATCATCCTGCAGCATCTGGTGAGCAAACTGGCCCCCCTTGGTTTCAGCACCCCCCTATGTAACTGGCTGCTTGACTTCCTCACAAACAGACCCCAGTCTGTGCGGGTGGGCAACAACACCTCCAGTGTCATCTCCCTGAGCACCGGCTCCCCTCAGGGCTGCGTCCTGAGTCCGCTGCTGTTCACCCTGATGACCCATGACTGCTGCGCCAGGTCCACTACTAACCACATCGTGAAGTTTGCAGACGACACAACAGTAGTGGGCCTCATCCGTGACAACAACGACATGGACTACAGAGAGGAGGTGAAACATCTGGTTGACTGGTGCAGAACCAACAACCTGACCCTGAACGTCGATAAAACCAAAGAGATCATCGTCGACTTCAGGAGGCGCCAGCCCAGCCACACACCACTCCTCATCAATGGCACAGCAGTGGAGAGAGTTAGCAGCACAAAGTTCCTGGGGGTGCAGATAACAGACACTCTGACCTGGTCCCTTCACACCGGTGCTCTTGTGAAAAAAGCGCAGCAGCGCATGCACTTTCTGCGTCGGATGAAGAGAGCACACCTCCCTCCTCCTATTCTCACCACCTTCTACAGAGGCACTATAGAGAGCATCATAACAAACTGCATCTCTGTCTGGTCCGGAAGCCTGCAGTGCCTCCGACTGGAAGTCCCTGCAGAGAGTGGTGAGGACGGTGGAAAAGATCATTAAGACTCCACTTCCTCCCATCCAGGAGATCGCAAAGATCCGCTGTCTGACCAGGGCTCAGAAAATCAGCAGAGACACCTCCCACCCCCACCAAGGACTGTTTTCGCTGCTGGACTCTGGAAAGAGGTTCCGCAGCCTCCGAAGCAGAACTTCCAGGTTCTGTAACAGCTTCTTCCCACAGAAAGGGGTCGGGGCGGGGGAGGCGGAGCTAAAGTGAGACCCCCCTGCTCGTGCGCTGTCGCTCTACCTTCACTTACTCTCTCATTTTTAATGAGGGGAGAGACTCCTCTGACCGGCTTCAGCTGCCTCATGCCCCCCTCACTGTCTTCAGCAAACAGTGTCCACGGACTCCCAGTTCTCCCAGTAATGAGATCATGAAAATCTTCTTTCATTGAATGATATTTATTCATTATATTTTTAACCCAGAGAGACAGCACAGTCTAAATTACACAAATCAGTCACGTTACCGAGACGTGTGCATGACTCAGTCTGCGAGTTTAGCCGATTAAAAACAGGAAGTTATCCATTACTCTGTTTCTGTTGCCATGGTGTTGAAACTACACTACAATCAAATCGATGTTTAACAATCTTCAATCGTGGCGACAACCCGACGTGCAGATTGTGCCCGCCTGTCCCAAACAAGCCTTTGTAAAAATCTGATTGGTTCAATAGTTTGTCATTTTCTCTCCGTGGCTCAGAATGTGAATAGTTTGGAGCTTCTTCTCTGATAAACAAACAAACGTACCGGAGCTTCTTAAAGATGCTGCATCACAATAAAAGCTTTTATTTTGAAGGAGCTGCAGGAACCAGCTTGTCCGTTTGAAACGTCTCAGCTGTGAGAGGAGAGAATCGCGTACACTGCTCTTTGCTCAGTGTCACGATGTATTGAAGAAGGAGCAGATGTTTTGAGTCTCCCGACAAAGAATCAGCAAAACGTCTTAAACAGCAGCCTGTGATTGGAGACACTTTAAGGCAGGGATGTCAAACATACGGCCCGCGAGACATTTTGGGAAGAAGGAGGAAATGTATTGAAAAATATTTTGAGATTTTTTATAAAATACATTTTTGTAATATGTATTTTCCCCGAATTGTATTAAAATGAGCAACGTAAAGGTTGATATCATGATACGAATATTAATTAAACGGGGCACTTGAATTATCTTCTCAGCAGGGAGCATCATAAAAAAGAGGAGTGGCTGAGCGCACGAGCTGCTCCTGCATTACGCTAATCAGCAAACAGGCTGAACACCTGAGAGAGGTGACACAGAATGCAGGTTTTCAAGAGAGATCGAAGGAGCGATATTTCTTTAGTTTTATTTGCTCACAAGTTGCCAGAATTGTATGAAAGCTACGAGACTTAACCACAGGGGGCGCTGCACTGCACGCTCATCATGACGGTCTTCAGTTCTGTCCACTCTTCTTACCAGTTTCTTCTGGCTTGACTGATGTAAAACAAAAGTTTGGCTGATAATAACAAAGCTTCCTATGGAGTGAGCCACAAAGAGCAGCTCGTGCAAATAAAAAACAATCCTCTCTGTCCTGCGTAACGGCCCAGACCGTCTCCACACATCCAGTGTAGTTTGTGGACACCGGTGTTGAGCCTGATGCATCTCCCGACTAGTTTTACCTCTGGTTATTGTAAAAACAGTAAATTAAAATGAATATTAACTGATTTTATTTACAGATGGTTCATTTTTAGGTCACCCAGAGGTGAACTTGTTGATCACGTAAAGGTTTCAGACATCACTTCTAAATGCAGTAGCCTGCTGTTGTGCCTTTATCACCAGCTTTAATCAGACTGTAAAAATATAACTATTACTGAACATTTCATTCTTATCTGAAAACAATATCACACACAGGCTGTCCGATCATACAGAGGTCCGCTGGTTTAACTGTGGAGCAGAGCTATAATTCTTCCTTGAATTACTGCACGGAGATGGCACAGATTCATTAGAATCACGTTAGATCACGATATTGCGGACACGGAGAAGAACGGACTGCCAGACTCATATCAAAAGTGGTTTAACTGAGTTTACTTAGTTAAAGAAGTTGAACTCCACACGGAGCTGATCAGACTGCAGTGATCAACTGAAGGATCAATTCAAGTCTGTTGGTTTGGAAACATGTTATCATTTTATAATGCCTAATACTAAAATACCTGAAGATGACTGTTTACATCAAAGACACTCTGTGTGTTTGTGACAACAGATTCATGTGAGCAGGTTTAGCATCTGTGATGAACCTTAACACACACACACACACACACACACACACACACACACACACACACACACACACACGGGCCGACATGCAGTTTGCAATGAGAGTTAACCCCTCTGCTTAATGTACTTATACATTTTATGTGTTAATATGCAGTTTTCTATACAAGTACCTTTTTTTGTCTTTTTTCTAATCATACATCAGCCTATATATCCATGTGTTGAGTTATAGTGATGTCTGCACAATTAGTCCGGCCCACTTGAGGTCTCATTTGAACAAATCCGGCCCCCGACCCAATAGGACTTTGACACCCCTGCTTTAAGGGAAGCAGAATGTGGAGACTTGGTTTGATTGACAGCTCCAGGACGTGATGACTGCAGGGCGTTCTGCTGAATCCAAAGGACCAATCAGAAACACAGAATTCACAAGATGTTATGTTGTCATCTTCATTTGACCTGCAGATAAAATTATCCTCATGCCAGATCATCTTCACATCACAAACTTCTCTTTATTGGAACTCGAGTTACCAAAGAAACATTCATTTAAAGAAAGAAAACTTTTCACCACTTTAGAAACAGCGTCACTTTGTCACTCCCAATTCACACACACTCCGTGCACGCCGCGGTCTGTCAGCGCCGCGGTTTTTGCTCCATCGGGCGGCGCACTCTGCCCCCACTGGATCCTTCACAGGAGAACTACTCCGACTACGAGTGATGGAAAATACGATCAGGAGTCCGTATGTTGTGTTTTATTTTGAAATTGACAGGGCGTTCCGTGTGTTTCCTCGTCTGACTTCCTGTCCAGCTTGACGCGTGCCTGCAGCGTGCTCCGTCAGAAACAGACTCACAGCGTGTTTGAAACGCGGCGCTCGCTGTGGAAACACGATCATTGAGTAGAGTGGCGGTGAGCTGCGGTGTAGTGCACGGCGCTGACCGTGCACGGCGCTGACCGACCGCGACGCTCTTGGAGTACGTGGAAACGGGGTAAGATGCTGACAGCTCACAGAAACATCAGCTCACAGCTGCTGGAGGAACAATCTCCCCCAAAGAAAGCTGAAATGTGAAAAGTGATTTACTAAAGTAAAAACCTCGGTGTCATGATGGTGAACGTGTTTCTTGAGGTCCAGGGCGTCGCTCTCTTCTTCTTCATGTGTTTGAAAATAACTGCAGGGCTTCTTTAAGAGTTCTGTGTGAAGAAACTGTCCAAATAAAACATTCTCACAGCATGTGATGCAGCACCATTCACTTTTTCCTGCACCTTCTTCTACTTTGTGGCGTCTCTTTCTGTATAAAAACATCAAACAGGAAGTAGAGTTCATCAGGAGAAACTGTTCCTGCAGGCTGGGACTTCTCCCAGTCTCTGCCGGTCTGCACACTTTTGTGTTGAGAGTTCCACCTACACCAGTTTCTGTTTCTTGCGAGCCTGAAACTGCTCCGTTTTGCTTTTAATCGACTTGACGAGCATAGACAGACTCGGGTCCATCGCTTTCTTCGAGGTGAGGTCGACCGCCGCCGCGGCGTCACGGTCCTTTTCCCGTTTCTTCCCCGCCACCTGCTTCCTGTCGGCTCCCTCCCCCTGATCTCTGAGCCCGTCCTCCAGGCGCCGCTGCTCCTCGTCTCTGCGGCGCTGCTTCTCCGTCAGGATGCTCTGCGTGGCGTTGGTCTTCTTGTAGCTGGGGTGGGAGGGGTCCAGGTTGAAGAGGTGGGAGGTGAACATGGCCTGGAAACGAGGGTCCTTCACATCCACCTGGACGCACAAACAGAGAGAGAGGGAGAATGTTACAACATCGTCATGACCACGATTTAGTCAACACAGAGCTAACAGCCTTCCTTTGACTCCATCACACCACGAGAGAGGGAAATGAACGTCTATATATTTATTTCTTCTTCAGGTCGACTGTTCATCTTTGAAATCAGATCAAAACACGTTAAACGGGACGATTGTGGTCAAAACAAAAGTTTGAACATTTAGCGGCCGAATGCTAAAGTCAAGTCCTGGAAACCGGAGGACATTCAGCTGGAGCAGCACGACCTGTGACATCATCACACCCACCTGGAATTGGTCTTCCTGCTGAAGCTCCTCCCCCTTCTTCTTCAGCAGCTTCTTCTTCTTCTGGCTCAGATTCTGCTGCTCCACGATCTTATCGTAATTAAAGTGTTTGTGTTTGGCTTCATCGCCCTCGTCCTCCATCAGCAGGGCCATCTCCGCCTGCACACACACACACACACACACACACACACACACACACACACACACACACACACACACACACACACACACACACACACACACACACACACACACACACACACACACACACACACACACACACACACACACACACACACACACACACACACACACACACACACACACACACACACACACACACACACACACACACACACACACACACACACACACACACACACACACACACACACGTTGAGATGCTGTCTTCAGGTGATATTTACAGATGTGATAAACTCACGTGGAGCTGCAGCCATTGACCTCTGACCTTTTGTTTCTCCAGCTCTTCTTCCTCCTCAGCGGTGCGCTCCTCCTCCTCCCCTTTCTTCTTCTTCTTCTGTTGCTTCTTCACGTCTGCACACACACAAAACAAATCATGACCTGACACGCTGCAGAGCTCTGAAGATCAAACAATTCAATTCAGACACGTTAGAGACACGTGAGAGCATGAATAAAAACCAGGAAGAACACTTCAGGTTTACATCCCGAGACATCTGAGCTGTTTGTTCTTCTCACAGGTAACAAGACGAGGAAGAAGAATGAAGCTTTACTCTTCTATGTTGACCTTATTGTTTCAAACTAAACTCCATCACTGACAGTCTGTCAGCTGGGTTTATAAATACAGAAAATAATTAAATTCTGAACAATTCCAGAAACCACACAGGCCTGGTGGTGTCAGACCACTCCTACAGGACTCTCCTGCTACACTGCTGCAGAAACAACAGGTTTCCATGTAGACCTCTGACTGCTGCTATGACACACAACGACCACTAGATGGAGCCCAACATGAAGAAACAAGAAGTGATCAGTTCTGTTCTGCTGCCACAACAAGCACCAAACTCTCCTGATACATGAGAGTGACTGTAATAAATGAACTCGAGTATCTTATTCACAAAGAAGATACAACGACTTTAATGAGACTCTTCCTCTTCTCAGATCAGATCAGATCAGTCTATTGAAGCTGGTATTTCACAACAGCCCTGTGACTCAGAGGGAAGAAACAAGCTGCAGTTAGAGGCGGAGCCACAGGTGAGGGAGGAGAGCTTCAGCGTCACTCTGAAGAAATAAAACTTAAAGTTTGTCAGGGTGTCGACCACGCAGCCGTCCAGAAAGGTTTCCGTTTCTCTTCAAAGAAATTAAACTAACTTCATCCAATCTTTGTCAACGACACAGCAGAGTCTCTGCAAACACTGGTGAGTACAGCTGATCATGTTTACACTTTGAACAACCAGGATTTACACTCAACTCTTCATTTCACTCTCTCTTCATACTCCAGCTTGTTAAACTGTGTGTGTGTGTGTGTGTGTGTGTCTGTAACTGAGATTCACTCATTTGGACTTGAATTCATTTCTAAATTTCTGGTATCATTGTTGTTTACTGATTACATCCTGCAGCCAAACTGAATTCTATTTCCTCTGGCTCTTTCACAGTAAAAGCTTGACATGGAGAAACCACAATGAGGCTTTTAATTTGAAGGAAGCAGAGAAGGAAGTGAAATTTGTCAGCAAAGATTTGTCAGCAGTAAAATCCTACACTAAGAATCTGTCTGCATAACAGTAAAGTTCAAAATCAGCTGTTTCACCAGCAGAGGGCGCTCTAGCTTTACAATGCAGCAACATTGATCTTTGTTGTTCTCAGCTCGGTCAGAGTTAAAAACTGCACATTCATTCAAGATTACTTCACCAAAGGGGCGCTGGTGGTGCAGTGGTTAGTGCGCACGCCCCATGTATGGAGGCTATAGTCTTCCAAGTGAGCGTCCCGGCCTTTCTCGCATGTCATTCCCCGCTCTCTCTCTCTCCCTGATTTCCGACTCTATCCACTGTCCTATCTCTCAATTAAAGGCACAAAAAGCCCCAAAAATAATCTTTAAAAAAAGAAAAAAGATTACTTCACCAAATACTAAAAGAACATGAATTATTTCTGTCCCATAATTTGGACATTAGGAGTTGTTGGACAAAATACAGATACAGCGATATATTGTCGTCCTGAATCGTGAAACACAATTATCACATCACTGGTCCAAACCAGGGTGACCACATGTCCAGATTTGACCAGGACCGTCCCCTTTTCAAGTGTCCCGAGTCCCCACAAATATCTACAAAACACTAGTAAGTCCCAGTTTTGAACAGTCCCTGTCCTGGTTTTAACCGACCAAAACAACACACCATGCTTGTGACACTGATTTGTCTGTACATGTGTCAATCAATCTCGGAGTTGCAGCTGTCGCTTAGCTAGCCTAGCTTATCATGCTAACGGGACCTGCTGGGTAACGACAGGTAGGCGAGCTGTCATACTGAGAGGAAGTCAGCGTTTTCCAGAGAAGGCCCATTAACGAAGCTACAGGATCAGCTAGTGGCTGTTGGCTGCATTACACCTTAGACTCCAGCATGGGGAGCCAACATATGAAATACACACAGCCATGTTTACACACAGCCTTCTTCCAGGAGTAAACGTTGGTGCGTATGGCTGCAACTGCTCTCAGAGAGATCTGTATTTCTGTTTGTCTGATGCTGTGCTGCTGTTGTAAGACCATCTGAACTACAGCTCACTCCGCCAACATTTGTCAGAGATCGGTATACATGACAACCAATAAAAATCCAGCCTCATCAGCCGGACAAGTAACCTGTTTCGTGATGCTCTCTCCGCTGCCAAATCTGTATATTTTGCTAACCTCATCAGGTCGGTTGAAGGGAAAACAAGAACTCTGTTTTCCACTGTAAACACCATCTTGCGACCACCTGATATTCTCGCACCTATACTCCACTGCCCACTGTAACACCCTCATGACCTTTTACAATGCGAAAATCGAAAATATTCATCAGCAAATGTCCTCCATAAAACATGTAGCAGACAGTCGCTCTTTCCAGCCTCTTCAGTTTTTAACTCCTAACTAATGATGATATTTCTAGTATCATTCAAAAATCCAAATATTCGACCTGTAAACTAGATCAAAGCCTGTCTACCCTCTCTGTCCTCTTTAATAACCGACATCATCCAGGCCTCTCTCACTTCTGGTCTTGTTCCATCATCTTTCAAAAAAGCTGCAATAACTCCGACAGACTAGCTTCAATCGGATTCACTGGCACCTCCCTCACCTGGTTCAAGTCATATATCTCCGGTCGCACTCAGTTTGTTCATCTCAAAAACTTCAGGTCGCATATCTCCCCAGTCACTATACCTTCAAATAAAACACACCAAAACACATTATTATATATTTGCCTATTCTGTCCCTTCTTATTATTGCTGTTTGTGTTTTTCTTTAGTTGATTGCGTACAAAATATGTGTTTGGTGGATTCATAATTCTGTTGCAAACTAGCGATGATGACGTTTAAACGTTTAGTCGATTAACCCGGCACATGACGCTGAGCACAACATGCAGAATAAGAAGCAAAACCTCAGCAAATCGAGTCTGAACTTTAGAATCAGGCCTGCAATACGAATGGTTTTTTCATTCTTACCAACACAGGGCTCCACAGAAGGATGTACTCGCATCATTAACTGAACATCTGTAACAAACTTTGATCAGTCAATCCTTCATCCCTTCTTTCCAGTTTCCAAACAATAAATCATGTAAATTAATTAAATCTTATTCTTTCTTTCACTCTGTGTAGATATGGCTGCTGCAAACTATCATTGGTCTGAGGATCAGTTTCTCTGCTCCATCTGTCTGGATGTGTTCAATGATCCTGTCACCATACCATGTGGACACAACTTCTGCAAAAATTGCATCACTGAACACTGGAACACCAGCGACCAGTACAGGTGTCCAATGTGTAAGGAAGCTTTTACCAATAGACCTAAACTGAGGGTCAACACTTTCATCTCTGAGATGGTTGGTCAGTTCAGAGACAAAGCTCAGCAGGAAGCCAGCAGCAGCAGCAGCTCAGAGCTACAAGAGTCCAAACCAGTAGAAGTTCTATGTGAAGCCTGCACTGGACCCAAACTGAAGGCCCTGAAGTCCTGCTTAGACTGTCTGGTCTCCTACTGTGAGACTCACCTGGAGCCTCATCTGACAGCTTCACGTCTGAAAAGACACCAGCTGATCGACCCTGTGGAGAACCTGGAGGACAGGATGTGTACGAAGCACGATAAACCTCTGGAGCTGTTCTGTAAGACCGATCAGACCTGTGTCTGCATGCTCTGCTCTGTTTTAGACCACAAGACACACAAGTTTGTTCCTCTGAAAGAAGAATATGAAGAAAAGAAGGCAAGCTGGAGGAGACAGAGGCTGAAATTCAGCAGATGATCCAGAAAACTCGACTGAAGATTCAGGAGATCAAACACTCAGTGGACCTCAGTAAGGACGATGCAGACAGAGAGATGGCAGAAGGTGTTCGAGTCTTCACCGCTCTGAAGGAGTCTGTTGAGAGAGGCCGGGCCGAGTTCATCAACACGATCGACAAGAAGCTGAAAACAACAAAGAAACAGGCCGAAGCTTTCATCAAAGAGCTGGAGCAGGAAATCTGTGAGCTGATGAAGAGGAGCACTGATGTGCAGCAGCTCTCACGCTCTGAAGACCACTTCCATCTAATCCAGAGAGTCCAGTCTGTTAACTCTGCTCCACCCACCAAAGACTGGACAGAGGTTAATGTCTGTCAACCACTTTATGAGGAGACTGTGAGGAACGCTGTGGCTCAGCTGGAGGAGACTCTCAGTGAAGAGATGAAGAAGTTGTTGGATCAAGCTGAGCTGAAGAGAGTCCAGCAGTATGCTGTGGATGTAACTCTTGATCCTGATACAGCACATCCTGATCTCATCTGTCTGAAGATGGGAAACAAGTTCATCATGGTGACGTGACGAAGAATCTTCCAGACAACCCAGAGAGATTCTCTCTTTGTGTTAGTGTTTTAGGAAAGCAGAGTTTCTCTTCAGGCAGATTTTACTTCGAGGTTCAGGTTAAAGGAAAGACTTGTTGGTTTTTAGGAGTGGTCAGAGAGTCCATCAACAGGAAGGGATTAATCACACTGAGTCCTGAGGAGAGTTTGTGGTCTATATGTTTGAGAAATGGAAATAAGTACACAGCCCTTGATGACCCTCCAGTCCGTCTCTCTCTGAAGTGTCGTCCTGAGAAGGTGGGGGTGTTTGTGGATTATGAGGAGGGTCTGGTCTCCTTTTATGATGTGGACTCTGCAGCTCTGATCTACTCCTTTACAGACTGCTCCTTCACTGAGAAACTCTTCCCTTACTTCAGTCCCTATCTTAATAAAGGAGGCAAAAACTCTGCACCTCTGGTCATCTCTCCTGTCAGTGTGAAATAATCACTTACTTTCTATATTGATTTGACTTCAAAAGAACAAGGCTAC